TTCCGTCTGTAATGGACCATCCTGCATCCCTGACCATGATGTGTAGTTAGAAGACAAATGAATGGATGCAAAGGACTAGAAAAGAAACTAAAGAGCAAGTAATATTCTATACTTCAGATTAAACCATCTTCAGAATATTAAGATGTAGCACAGAGGTCTCTCCAAAAAACCTAAGACACAAACCACACACAGACCTGTTTAGGAGGGTCAGGGGCAGCGACGGGAGAAACAAAATCCCCAGACAGAAGGTCCAGAGCTTCTCCTGCATCCATCGAAGGCTGCAGAGGACAGAAAGCAGATTTCACCATGACGACGGTTCATCACTATAATAGTTTAACTATAATGGGGGCTCCCGGAATGACAGCGCTGTATTCCCCGCACAGCCTCATCACCCTGCCATCTAATCCTTACTCCTTCCACACCCCCAACCTGTACAATTTCTAGGATTACTGTATTGATCAACTGGAAATGTGAAAGCCAATAAATATGTTTTTAAGAGAACGTACTGAATCCTAATTGTGACTCTGAAATGACACCTATTCATTTATAGCACATTCTACTTATGTATAAATTTGTACAATCATTCCCCATCAATTAGGTGGTTAACTGTATTTTTGTGTGTTGCTGTCCATGTCTTAAAATGTCATTTATATCATCTATTTTCTTCAAATGTCTAAATATTTAAATTTATTCCTCATTTGCACTATAACCAGCATTTTCCATGGCAACAGCAAAAATTGCAACAGAAGCACTATAAAGAGTTAGTTTTTTATGATAGGAAATTGATTTGCTCAAATCTTTGTAATAATGCATAATTCATCTCCTAAATCCACACGGTTGTTTTTTTCTGCTAGACCAGGCACTAGGTCAAGTAAACACATGTAAAAAAAATGTTTTGGTCAGCCGTATACCCGGCAGCGCTACACTCCCAAGTGTCACGCACTCTACCATCGCTACTGCAGGAACGTACTGGACTGAATGGCAGAGTGACCATCCCAGCCTCATTCTCAGACCTATAAGTCAGTGCAATGATCCTATTCTGACAGCTGTCCATTTTGACGTACAATCTATCAACTTATTGTTATTTTTATTATGAAATACAGACATCTCTTTGCATTGCTCTGTACAACCTATAAAGGTATGTTCCTATATTTTGTATCTTAAAAAAAACAAACAATAAAACTGGTACATTACATATCTGTGCACCTTGCCGCTTAACAGAATTCAGTGGTTTTAATTAACGTATTCATATAATAAAATGAAGACTGTGATTGGTTAACGATGTGACACGCAAGTTCCGCCCTTGCTGACCCAGGGATGCACTGAACTCAGGAAAATCACGACGTGCTGCATCTGTCCTCACCTCTTTCTTGGGGGCAGGAAACTCTTTCAGTTTGTCTTCTGTGAATCGGTACTCTGGCGGAAGAGTGTCCTCCCTCTCTC